CCCTTACGCACAATCACAGGGACCCCTCAGACACTCAGGGCACTTATAAACATATAAGGGTTGATTTTATAGGACGATCACTTCTTACAGTCACTGTGGGACTCCTCTCAGCCATATATATATGTATGTGAGCACAGGCAGTCAAATCCCAAGTCCGAATCACCAAGCATACCTGCAATCACATCAAAGATTCAACCAGAAAGTCCATGCGCTACACGGGGTCAACTTCAACCATTCTCTGCTCTCACACCCCTTGCTTTAACCATGCAAACCTCAACCTCAGCTCAACCTCTCCGCAATAAAAATACTCAGTATCTTCGTTAAATGGCCATTCAATAAAGTCCGGGTAAAAACACAACATAACAGATAAACCACATGGCTAAAGCCTTTAGGTTAAGTGGCAGGAGTGGATTGGAGTTGAGTCGTAAACCGACGAATCGGCAACTGACCTGTTATCAGTGATAACAGAAGATGATCCTCAAGGGATCAAGCTGAATCTAGTCCTGAACTTGAACCAACCGATCAAGAGGGCCTGTAACACATGACAGACCAATCCCTAAGCTATGATCATAAGTGTATGGAGAATACAACTCCATAATACATCCTCACTCCAAATCTCCCTATAAGCTAAACCTAAGTCTACCTCTAAGTCAGTGCTTAAGCCAAAGGTAGACCAACTGCAGAATCTTCCCTATTCAGGGTGGATCACCTGAATCGCCACCTGTCAAAATATAATATCTCCTCTAAACTGGGAAAATTTCGGCAGCGCTTCCCGTAGGAGAAGTGTCTCTCCAGAATTTATATAAGTCCATGTATGAAAGCAGAAGTAATATCTAACTCTGGAAAGTCAACCTATGTCTAACTTCATGAAATAGCAGAAATTTGGGCAGCACTCCTTTTAGAAAAGGAGGTTTTCCAGATTTATAGTAAGTTAGATATTAAGGCAGAAATAATCTCTAACTCAGGAAAGTCAAATTATGTCCAACTCCCTGAATCAGTAGAAATTTTGGCAACACTCCCTTTAGAACGGGAGGCTTTCCAGATTTATACTGAGTCAGATATGAACTCGAACAACAACTCGAGTTCAACTTTAGACAGAATTTAACTAACTCCTTAATTTCGTAGAAATTTCGGCAGCACTCCCTCTAAAAAAGTGTTATTCAAAATTTATACAAGGCTAAGTTCAGAATTTGGGAATAAATTTGACTTCTCAAAGTCCAATTTTGTCTAACTCCCTGAATTAGTAAAAATTTGGGCAGCACTCCCTATAGAAAATGAGACTTTCCAGATTCCTACTAAGCCAGATATATGGAAGAGACAAGTTGAACTCTGACAAGTCAAAAGTTGACTAACTCCTTGGATTTGTAGAAATTTCAGCAGCGCTTCCCGTAGGAAAAGTAACCTGCCAAGATTTATACAAAGCCAAGTATAAGAAAAGATCTCTTAAAATGCAGGAATTGACCTAAGTAAAAAAAATTATTACAGAAAATGCAGGAATTGACACTAACTCCTATGGCTCTAGCACGTGGCGAGCAACTAAAGCAACTACCTATAATACTGAAACCCAAACAAACTAGTCATCCCATCTAGTCACATGCAAACCAAACCACGAATGTAAGTACTCTAACCATCCCAAGTTCATTCCATATAGAAAGTTCATGAATCTTCAAGTCCTTGAATCCTTACACCCATCTTACATAAGACGTAGAGCTGGACCATTCGTCATGGAAACAGTGTCCAACTTGTCTTTATGATATACACGAACAGGTTGCACAACTACTTCTCTCTTCTTTTGGGCAGATGACTAGGCCATTCGCCATGGAAACAATGCCTAGTCGCCCTGAGCTATTTAATATCCAAAATTTTAGTATTTCTCTGACTTTGTTTTCAAAAGAAAAGGCAAATATGGGCAGGGGACTGAACCATTCAAAGTAGAAACAATGTTCAGCTTGCCCTGGTTACTTCCATTTATACTTTATATTTTTCCATTTTTCTTCTTAACGATATGGCTTAGCGCTAGGCCATTCACAGTATAAACTATGTCCAGCTGTCAATTCACATGCAAATATACATAAAGTATTTTCCTTTATACTTAGTTAAGTTCACGTGCGTGGTTTTTGGGCTAAACCATTCACATTAGAAACAATGCTTAGCCTTAGACCAGAAATCCTCCCTCAGAATAAAACAAGAATTTAACCGCCTTCAATCAGGCAAACCCCCAGAGTTAACTAGAGTAAACAGGCCATTCACAGTAGAAACAATGCCTGGTCCTCCAAAAAACAACTAGATAAACATAGCAACCAGGTCATTCACAGTAGAAACAATGCCTGGTCCTTCAGAAAACAGCCAAATAAACGTAGCCCTGAGCCATTCACAGTAGAAACAATGCTCAGGTTTTGGTTGACCCTTCCAAACGCATGCAAAACTGTCTTTCTCTCATCTTCCCCCAGTTTATCCCTTTGTCTGCTTTCAACCAAATAAAGAAATAACTTAGGCTTCACTCTCACACGTTCCTTTCATTCAGTCTGATAGGGTCCTGAAGAGAAAACAAAACCATAGGGACAACCTCATGCATACAACAGTCATATTCCAGGGGAATAAACAAACATGGGTGGTAGTAGGTTGTACAGATGGAAATGGTTTACCTGACGATTCCCTGCCTCCAGAACTCCTCCTGAGTTCCGGCACAGCTCCCGCAATCGCAGGGTGGACTCCCCACAGAGTCTTGACGCGGCCCTACGGGTTGCAATCCCGCCTGCCGCCTTCCTGTCGTAACCAAGGACTAGACTGAGACTTAGAAGGGCAGAACGAGATAGATTTGAGACTTTCAGATCCAAGGATGGTGCTCTCAGATTCGCAAGAGAGGGCCTTGTGATCTTGGATCGCCTGAGGGCCTCGCAATGGCGGCCAACTGACAGCTTGGCCAACGAAATCAAACTGCTGAGGTAACCCCTCCTGACGAACTCTCCTGCCCGTAGCACTTCTCAAGCCTGGGCCACCTCTCCTCAACCTCGTTGTGGCTGCATAACAGTCTGCAACAGTCCGTATGCACAACAACAGTTTCCTAGTGGCGATCGCCAGCCACAGCGGCATCTGCCAGCCGCAGCAATCATAGCCCGCACTCAGTCCACAAGCATCGCAGCATCACCCAGCGGTCAACAACACACAGTATGCAGCAGCAGATTCGCCTTAGTAGTTCGAACACTCCCCTCCCACGCTACACCATCGTCTCCCGTGGTGAGCCTGTAGTGGCATGGCTCTAAAGCTCAAAGAACAATGTAAATAAATGACAGAATTACAAAAAATATGACAACTTATTAATAAATCATTATATCCGAAACACCCACGCAAGGTAGAGGACGAAATGAGAAAAACAATCCTTCAAGCATTTGTGTCAAATTCCTCGTCCAATAGTACATGTTCTCCTCTGACCTTTCAAGGCCTATTTTTTTTTCATTTCACAGTCAGTGTTGCCTGTACCGGATGTATAAGGCTATATCTTTAACCTCGGTTGTGGACGCAAAGTCATCTCGCAGTCAGTGTTGCTTGACTCGGAAGTATAGGGTTATATCTTTAGCCTCGATTGTGGACGCACAGTTTCGTTGTACATTATTTTGAAGAACGAATAATCAGATTGTCTCTAACAAAAAACTGTTATATTTCGTCCATCGAAGGACTGTACCTTACAGCGGAATGATCAAATACAGTTATTCTCTCTCTCTCTCTCTCTCTCTCTCTCTCTCTCTCTCTCTCCCCTGTTCTATTTCGCCCATCGAAGGACTGTACCTTACAACAGAATGATCAAATACAGTTCTTCTCTCTCTCTCTCTCTCTCTCTCTCTCTCTCTCTCTCTCTCTCTCTCTCTCTGTTTGTAAATTTGTGTGTTCCAAACTAAGGACGATCCACTCTGCAACCATGGCCTCTAAGCAACTACAACGATGCTAGACGCTGCTTTCTCTCTCTCTCTCTCTCTCTCTCTCTCTCTCTCTCTCTCTCTCTGTTTGTATTTGTCTATTTAATCTCCGAGCAACAACGACGCTCAAAGATTGTCGTCCTTTTTTAAATTCTTTTTGCCGCTCCCGACCTTGAGGAGTTTTTTTCATAATTCGGGAATCTTGTAGCGGGGTTTTCCAAATTTTCACGGTTTGGTCTCCAAGAAATTAAATTCCGCATTTAACATAGGCGGGAACCAGTGAAAGCGCATGCGGGCGCTTGACGTTCAGAATGTGTCGTTTTACCGGGTCGCGGTTCTCTGAAATTTTGTCGGTAGCTCTCCAAAATTACAATCTTGAAAACGGCCTTCGGCGGGAAATTCTAAACTTTTGACGACGTTCTTGACGACGGTCCCACTGGCTGGGAGGTTGAAATGATTTGTTTTACCGAAGTCCTGGCTGAGCCTCCTCGAACTTTTGTCGCTAACGGTCTGAAAATTGGACTTTTGCAAAAACCTTGACAGGAATTAGTCAAATGTTAAAAATATTCTTGACGTGATCCTTGGCGGGTATTCGTCAAATGTTAAAAATATTCTTGACGGGATCCTTGGCGGGAATTCATCAAATGTTAAAAATATTTTTGACGGGATCCCAGTAGCTGGCGCTCGAAATTATTTGTTTCTCTTACTCTCCTGAAATTTTGTCGCCAACGGCTCAAGAACTCTACTTCTCTAAAATCCATTGGCGGGAAATCCCAAATTGTCATTGATATTCTTAACGGGGGCCGCAGTAGCAAGTGTTTTTCTTTTGTTTCCATTTCGTGTTCAAGGAGTTTACCCCCGCGTTAGCGACGCTCTTCCGGCCGTCCTCTGACACACTTTCTCGCGCTCACACTGAGTCTTCTCTATTGTAGCCTTTTGTAGGTGACGCCATCGTCATTTCCAGACGCCAGACAGGTTGTCGTCTCTCCCATTCTTCCCGATTTCGTGTTGAAGGAGTTTACCCCCGCGTTAGCGCGTTAGCGACGCTCTTCCGGCCGTCTTCTGAAGCACTTTATCGCGCTAACACCGAGTCTTCTCAAATCTAAGTGACGCCATCGTCACTTCTACACGCCAGAGAGGTTGTCGTAACGTATCTTTCTGCCATGGATTCTTTAACCGAAACAAGTGTTCATAGTAGTCGCAAGAGTAACCCCCTGAGATGGTTTCCAGACCTTTCTCAACGCAAGAGCAGTGTTGATGCCAACGGTGTCAAGACGAAGATTGTCAGGTGGTTTCCGGACCTGCATCAATGTTGTACAAGCGGAGGGGAGAAGCAGAACCCTCTACCGAAGGTCAGTGCAAATGGTGAGAAGACCGCCGATGTCTGTTTGTTTCCGAAGCGTCCGCGATCGAACACGACAACAAGAACGGTTATTACGCCATGCCGAGCAGCAAATACAGTGATGGGTGTCTGCACAACTGGCAACCCAGGGAAGCGTCAGTGCCCGAATGCTGAAGGCGAACAATCCAGAGAGAGAGACGATGTACAGGACATGAGCGAGAACTTTATTGCGAAAGAAACGCTCCACGGCAGCGTGGCGCAAGAATTGCAAGACAACGGCACTGAGGAAGAGGAACCTAGTGACGACGATGAGGAGGAGGGCGAATCGAGCGACGACGATGAGGAGGAGGAGGAAACGAGCGAGGATGCCGATTCAGAAGACACAGACTCTGAGGATGATGAAGGGAAGAACGAGTCGGGAATTGATGTCGACATGTTCAAGAAGAGTCTATTTGGAGATCTTTTAGGAGAAGCGAAGCAGATAATAGCACAGGAGGTGAGAAGAGGACTGTACAGCAAATCAAGCAAGAGTGAGAAACCTCCTTACAACTTGGGAAAGCGCGGCAGGAACGTACGTGTGTACAACAAGAAAGCTAATTACCACGTGAACATGAAGAATGTCGAACTAATTCTGAAGGAAGATTGCTGCAAGGCCAACTGTTACAAGTAGTTCACGGCGGTAGATGTTTTCTACAAGCGCGAAGAATTTTGGGCGATGAAACAACCTGAGCAACTCAACTTCTTTCTCGCAGAGATGAGGGTTGCGTCGTACTTTTCGGATGAGGAAGATTTAGAGGTGTTAAGAGTGATATTCAACGGCGTAAAGGTTTGCACAAAAGCGTGGGGAAAGTTGTACGGATGCTCGACTACACGTGTTGCAAAGATACGCAAAGAATTCAGAGAAGGAATGGTGTTGTACGAGCATGCAAACAAAGGATCAGTTGGATTATTTGCTTCATCACAGCAAATTCTCGCCTGGTTGCATGAATATTTCCGATACAATACTCAGAGTATGTCAAATAGCGACCAGTTTCATCTTTCAGATACTCTCCGGCGTAGAGACGTGTACGACTTCTTCAAGCGAGACTGCAAAGAGCTCTACACGAATAAGACTCTTCCTTCCCGTTTCAGATTTATGACCATTTGGAGGGTTCACTGCCCGAAAGTTCTTATTCCTGCATTGAAGAGGTTCTCGGTCTGTTTCACATGTTTGAAATTCAAGACAGGCCGTTGACACGCAACAAGTGCCTTCGAACGAGGTAATGACATAACCTCAGTGCTTATTTTCTTTCCCCCTGTCTTCCTCACCCTTCTTCTCTTTTTTTTTTTTTTCTCTCTCTCTCTCTCTCTCTCTCTCTCTCTCTCTCTCTCTCTCTCTCTCTCTCTCTCTCTCTCTTCATTCTTCGATGTTTGCCACGACGCGACTGATTGTTTTGAATTTTATCCCTGTAAGTTGTTTTTGCAGAAAGTAGAGGTTGTGACTTGCACATTTACGGAAGGATTCTCATGGAACTCTTCTTCGTCTCTCCTATTTCTTCTTTTTCTTCCTCTCTCTCTCTCTCTCTCTCCAAATGTTCTTCATGTAGAAAGAAAAATGGATCTAGTGTCAGCGCAAACTTGGAAGGATTCTTAGGAAAGTATAAAGTTCGGTAAAGAAATAGTTAAACGTCTTCTCTTTGTCTCAGTTATAGTCCTATAACACTTTGTCTCTTATCCGTCTTCGACTTTTCAGAGTTAAAGCCCTTTACCACTTTATCTAATAATCGTCTTCGTGACGTCTGCGTTGCTTTCCCCGAACTCGTTCAGTCAATCAAAACAAAAATTTTGGGAAAGAATTAATTGAAGATTCTACGACGCTTGTGGACTCACTTTTCTGAGTTAGAGCCCTGTAACACTTTGTCTAATAATCGTCTTCGACTTCTCAGAGTAAAAGCTCTTGTTATTAGTGACGTCTGCGTTGCCTTGCCCAAACTTCGAATTTTATGATGCACGAAACTTGTGGACTGGCTTTCCTGAGTTATAGGCCTATAACACTTCATCTAATCATTGCTTTCGATTTTAAGGCCCTTCATCGCGCTTTGTCTCTTTTCTTTAACATGTTTTGACAAAGTAACCGCTTGTTTTGTTTTTTGTGCAGAAATGTTTGGCAAGGCACTAGAGAAGCACTGGTTAATGCAAGCAGAAGAAAGACAAAAACTCAGTAAGCATCGCCACAAGGCTTCAAGTCATCCGTCAGAGTATGTCACAATGATCATTGATGGGATGGATCAAAGCAAGACTATACTGCCACACTTCACTAGGGTTCCAAAGGATTCGAAACTAAAAGAAGGGAACTTTGTGAAAGTTCACGTGGTTGGGGCTAAGGTGCTAGGACTCTCATCGAACGCCTCTGCAACTGTTTTCTTTGACAACTTCAAATCAGATTCTAATTGCATGCTAAATGTTCTTCATCGTCAGATTTCTCAACTTCCTGTACCATTTCCGAGAGTCTTGTATCTTACACTTGATAACACTTCGAAAGAGAACAAGAACAAATTTGCCTTGTCATATCTCGTGTTCTTGGTGAAAATGAAAGTGTTTAGTAAAGTTAAGTTAAACTTTCTTCTTGTAGGTCACACGCACGAGGACATCAACCAGATGTTCCGTTGTTTCTCGAGAAAGTTGGTTGGACATGGTGTGTTCGATCTTCCTGAGTTGCAGCACGTGATTAGGGAGTCATACAAGGTAGAACAAGATCATGGCGTGCATGTTAGGGAGATGACGGAAACAATGGACTGGAAGTTGTACATTCAGGATCATCTACATAACGTCAATGATATCAGCTTCAACCAACATTTTCGAATCAAGCACAACGACGACGGGGAGGTGCGCATTTGGAGCAAGCAATATCATAATTCACAGTGGCAGCCGAACGACAGAAAAGGTCTGGACATCTTCAAGTCAGAGCCAACAGGACATGTTCAAGTTTCGCCAAAGCATGCAATCCAATCTTTGGAAGCAAGATATCGACTTACTTGTCGGGGGGAGGACGAGAGGCGTGACAAGGTCGTCAGCAGTGAAGGTCATGTCCGTAATCGAAAAGCGGAAAGATCTTCGAAATTCAAGGTTGACGATGATGTACTTTCCATCGCCGCCTTGAAAGCCAACGTACATGCCCTGTCGCATTACACTCAACCACACAATATCGAATGGTGGAACAAGTTCATAGCAACGCAGGAAACTCTCGACCTTGAGGACAAAAATCTCAAAGAGCGTTTCGCGTAGCCCTCCGTAACAGCTGATGTCAGCAGAGCAGATGAAGAAGTTCTACCAACCGCTAATGGCTTCGACCAACGCTTGGATGATCTTTTCCCTCCTGAGAGACCCATCTACATCGGCGCACGCAAGAGCAGACAGTTTCCAGAGGACAGAGACGGAAAGTACGACGATCTCGAGGTCAACACTTTCATCTCATTACGAGCTTGTTCGGGGCAGGAAGAGAGAGGCAAACCTTACCACATTGGCAAGGTTGTCGAGCTGCTAGCAGGTAAACAATTCAAAGTTGCTTGGTTCGCACAACGTGAGAAAGGAGAGGGTTACTATCCTCAGTTCAAGACAAATCCTCAAGGAAAGACTACGAGAGAGCCTTCCGAGGACGTCTACGACTGAAGTTGTGGCGTTCTTTGTTACAACTTCCAACTGAAGACAGACAAGACCCTTTTCTCGCAGACAAGACAAAAGATCGCTTAGATGTTAAATTTCATGGCAACGGAGGATGTCGACTAGGAAGACCTTCTAGGAACCGATTGATTCGGAGGTTGGCAGAGAGTCATCGAGATCGAGGTCATTTCTGCTTCCGCATGAGAGCAGGGTTCCTGTTGTCGTTGATCAGCACATTATTTGAGTTTAGTCGTTAGCGGCTTGTAAATTCTAGTAGATTTGTACAACATTAGGTCGCAGTTAGCATCCAAGCACGTGTGGCCAACCTTTTTGTTATCTGAGTTTAGTCGTTAGCGGCTTGTAAATTCTTGTAAATTTGTACAACAGTAGGTCGCAGTTTGCAGCTAGGCACGTGTGGCCAACGTTTTTGTTTTCGCGATCTTTTCTAATGTACTTTGCGGTTTTTCACTTACAATTCTTGAGATCGTGTCTGGATTTTGCTGAATTTCCATGTTCTTCAACATTGAGTTTATAGGGCTATAAACAGTCTCAATTTCGCTGAATTTTCATGATGTTTAACATTGAGTTTATAGGGCTATAAAGAGTTGACCGATTGTGGACTAAAATTATTCTCTTTTTCTACTTTTCTAAAATTCTCGTTGTAGGCCTTTAAGGTCGTGTCTGAATTCCGCTGAATGTCCATGATGTTTAACATTGAGTTTATAGGGCTTTAAACACTTGATCGATTGTGGACTAAAATTATAATGTTCATGTTTCGTTATCAAGCTTTCGTTATAGGCCTATAATTCGAAAAGTACGGTTTTCGAATTTCGAGAGAATTTCCGAGGGTCGCTTCCGAATCTCGTTACATTCGGCTCTTTTCGGCATTTGCGCAAATTCGCGTTATAGGCCTATAAGGTCGTGTTTGGAAGTTGTTGGATTTCCGTGACGGTCGAAACTGGTCAATCGACTGTCCATAACTTTTGGTGATTTGAAATCAGTTGTCGTTGGCTGTTTTTTGCTTTCCTCTGGATCCTGTGTTTTTACTGCCTTGGTTTTCAAGCTTCTATTTCCTTAGTATTATGAGTGCAAAGAAAGAGGATTATCAACCCGTCTGTTCAACTTGCAAGGTTTTCTGTTAGTTTTTACGTCATTGGATTTGGTTCCGGAAAAGACTCTTCTGTTTTAAAACAAAATACTACTTCCGATGTGCACTGTTGGATAGTCGTTTCGTCATGCACTGAAATTTTTTCATAAATTGGAGATCTTTTCGTCGTCCATGAGTAGGAGTCGCCTGTTCTCCTCGAAAATGGGTTATTTTTCCACGTTGTTGTTTGCCTCGGATATCTGCTAATTTTTAGGGGGTGTTTCGATGACATTTGCGTCCGAAACGGTGCAAAATCGACCTTTACTTCTCCAAAAATGTTATGTTTCATTACTATTTTCCTGTCTATAGGATTTCTCTGGTCTTGGTCTGTTTCTCTGGTTTTCACGAATCCATTGTTCCCAATCATTCTCTGTACTCATACCCCTCGCTTTAGTCATGCAAGCCCCAACCTCCTGCCAACCAACCATAATTAAATACTCAGTATCTTTGTTAAATGACCATTTAATAAAAGTCCGGGTGAAACTTGAACAAAACAATAGAAATCACCAGGGCTAAAGCCTTTTTTGGTTGAGCATTGAGGGTGAGTTGGAATTGAGTCGTAGACCGACGAATCGGCAACCGACCCGTTATCAGTGATAACAGAAGGTGATCCTTGTAGGATCAAGCTGAATCTAGCCCAAAATCTTGAATCGACCCATTCAAGATGACCTGTAACACAAGACAAGTCAATCCCTAAGCTAAGTCTATAAGTTCCTGGAGAGTAATCTCTATATCACGACCTTACCCAAATCACCCTAATTAACTAGGTCAAAAACCTATCTCTAATCAGGTGTCAAGGCACAGGTAGACCCTAACATAATCTCCCCTATACGGAATGGATCTCCCAGAATTGTCACCTGTCAAATATAATCTAACTCCTCTGAACTCGAAAAATTTCGGCAGCGCTTCCCGTTGAAAAAGTGTCATCGCAGAATTTATATTAGCTCAAAATCAGATTTTTAATTCTAGAAAGTCAAAATTCGTCTAACTCCCTTAACTAGTAAAATTTTGGGCAGCACCTCCTTTAGAAAGGAAGACTTTTCAAATTTATACTAAGTCATATGCGAATTCAAACATAAAGTTTGAGTTCTGCTAAGACAAAATTTTAACCAACCCCTTAGATTTGTAGAAATTTCGGCAGCGCTTCTTGTAGAGAAAGTGTTATTCAAAGATTTATACAAAGCTAAGTTTATAACCTGAAATCACTTTGACTTTTCAAGGCCCAATTTTGTCGAACTTCCTGAATTAGTAAAAATTTAGGCAACACTTCTTTTAGAAAAGGAGGCTTCCCAGATTCTTACTAAGTCAAAAAGCCAACAAGACCGGATTCTGAAGAAGACAAAGTTTTGACTAACTCCTTGGTTTTGTAGAAATTTCGGCAGTGCTTCCCGTAGGAAAAGTGGCTTACGAAGATTTATACAAGACCAAAGTATAACAAAAGATCCCAGAAAATGCAGAAATCGATATAAGGAAAATCAACTTAACTCAAAAAATGCAGAAATTGAAACTAACTCTTATGGCTCTAGCACGTGGCGAGCAACTAAAGCAACTACCTATCAACCTGAAGCTAAGATCAGGTAGTCATCCCACTCAGCCACATGCAAGTCAAACCACGATGGTAAGTACTCTTACCATCTCAAGTTATTTCTCATAAGATAGTTCATGAGTCTTCAGATCATTCAACCCTTATACCCAACTTACATATGGCACTAATGTTGGACCATTCGGCTTGGAAACAATGTCCAGCTCGCCTTTAGGATACACAGGAACATGTTGCACTACTACTTTTGTCTTCTTTGGGCATTTGGTTACACCATTCGGCTTGGAAACAATGCCTAGCCGCCCTGAACTGTTTAATATCCAAAGTTTAGTAATTCTCCGATTTCGTTCTCAGAAAGAAAAAACAAATACGGGCAGGGGACTGAGCCATTCGGCTTGGAAACAATGATCAGCTTGCCCAGTCTATTTTCAATTATATTTCGTAATTTCCCTTCTCTTCTTAGTGATATGGCTTAACGATGGGTCACTCGGCTTGGAAACAATTCCCAACTGTCAGTTCACATGCAAATAAATATACAATACTTCCTTTTATACTCAGGTTGTACTTATGTGCGTGGTTTTCAGGCTAAGCCATTCAGCTTAGAAACAATGCTCAGCCTTAGACAAAAAATCCTCCTTTAGAATGAAACAAGAAAACCCTTTTACATCAGGCAAACCCTCAGAAAATAAACATAGCAACCAGGTCATTCAGCTTAGAAACAATGTCTGGCCCTTCAGAAAACAGTCAAATAAACACAGCCCTGAGTCATTCAGCTTAGAAACAATGCTCAGTCCCTGGTTGACCCGGTCAAACGCATGCAGTCTGCGTTCCTCCCACCTTCCCCCAGTTCATCCCTTAGTCTGCTTCAGCCAAAAATAACGAGAAACTTAAGCTTCACACACACACATTCCTTCCCTTCAGTCTGATTAATCCTGAACAGAAAGCAAGAATCATAGGGACAGTCTCAGACATACACCAACCAAACTAAGGAGGGATAGGCAAACATGGGCGATATGGGGTCATACAGATAGAAAGATGGTATACCTGATGGTTCCCTGCCTCCAGAACCTCGCCTAGGTTCTGGCAGAGCTCCCGCAATCGGTGGGAGGACTCCCCACAGAGTCTTGATGCGGTTTACGGGTTGCAATCCCGCCTGCCGTCTTCCTCTCATAACCAGCAGACCATACTTCGAGTGAGAAGGGAAGAAGGAGATAGATTTTAGAATCTCAGATCCAAGAATGGTGCTCTCTGTCTCACAGGAGAGGGCCTTGATATCTTGACTCGCCTGAGGGACCCGCAATGGTGGCCAAATTGCAGCAGTTTGATCAATTTGAAGTTAAACTGTTGAAGTTAACTTCCTGACGCCCTTTGCAGATCGCCACAATGACCCCCCGCCCCCCCCCTTCACAATCTAACCATCCCTCGAAGTTCCAGCACCTCTCCTTAGCCCCTCCATCGCTACACAGCAGCTCGTGCCAGTCAGCAGCATCCAACAGCAGGTCGCAACAGTATTCTGCAGTGGGCAGCGGTGTGCAGCAGTGTGGGGTAGTGTGTAGCAGTCGGCTTGTTGTACGCAACAACCACAGTAGCCAGCAGCAATAGGCAACAGTATGCCCTGTTTGAATAAACTTTAATGAAACTGTGTACACAGCAGCTACTTTTGTAGCAAAACACCGCGCACTTTGCAGCCCAATTTTGCCCTTTTGCACCATACCTCCCCGCAATTAGCCTTGTTGTTGCCGCATTCACCAGTAACCAGCGTTGCCAGCTATAGGGTGCTGCAGCAACGCATGATGAGAAACTCAACACGCTGTTGTACTGTTTTTTAGTAATGCGCAGTGACCGGCACGAACTGCGCCTTGCTATCTGCCGAAACCGCAGTTTGTCCTGCACTCAGAACTGTAACTGCTGCCATAAAAGATCACAGGCTTGACAGGAGTGGCAGGCTGCACTCTACCCTCAACCAATCTGTATTAATACAGCCCGAAAAGATCATGCCTCTT